TTGAGGTGAAATTGTAGATTTGTTTCAGTTACTAGACCCCAAATTACCCTCTGGTCCTTGCTCTGACCATCTATCTAAGGTTGCCACAGAAAGCCAGCCATACCTGTTTCATGGAGAGCAGCCATTCCAGCAGCACCTTCTAGAAGTCAGAGGCTCTGCCTCCAGGCGTTGAGTGGAGCCACCCTTTGCATCCTTTTTCATTTCGGTGGGAAAATGTGTCATGTTCATTTCCAGAAACTTCTACATGAATAAGCAGGTAGGAGTAGCACCCCCACATTGGCACCCTGCCCTGTCTCAGCACCCACCCCACCACACTCTCACCGGACCTTGCTGCATCACCCCAAACCACCTACATTAGCACCTTGCCCTTGTCTTCTCTGCCTCAGAAATCACGGACACCAAAGTTCTTCACTTACTACCCCTTCCATCTCATCCATCCTCATGGAACACAGCTTTAACCTGCTAGAGTATGACCAGTACTTGGTTTTGGATTCTAAGCTTTCACTCCTCCGTTTGTCTGTGATACCCTCTTATGAGTAGGCATGCAGTAATCACCACTGAGTCTTTTTAAATAAAATGTCAAATAACAGTACTAGACAAGTTTCTCACTTTTATCCAGTGAAGAAAGCAGGAGTTGGGGAACGTACTGCTGCTTATCAGAAATGAAGTCACAGAATGCTAGAGTTAAATAATAGTGTCATTAAATAATAGAGTTAAATAATAGTCTCTTTTCTTCAATTATTAATAATAAAACTGAGACCCAAAGAATGAATATGCTCAACCTGATACTGTGAATCAAAGGGAAAATTACTGTCTTTAAAGAAATTTAACTCGAACTCTGTTTTCATAGAGCACATCTGTGAAAATTTTAGTATAAAATCCTCAATCACTGAAAAAAATTCTGTCTCTCCTCTCTGTATTTCATACTCACATACATTATCTCTCTTCTATTTAGGGGAACAAAACCTCTCCAGTGTGAAAAATGCATTATGCAGCCTCCAGAGCATAACAGCTATTTCCAACTAAGTTGCAGATGCTGTTTCTGAATCTTAGTAATCTCTATTCCTCTGAAAATAAGAAAGATAAACTGGAAAAAAAGCTTCTAGAGTGATATATTGTTTTAAATGTTGGGGGGGGGAATCTTTGTAGATGGTGGGGCTTTTTAAAATTTATATTATTTTTTGTTTTAATTTTTATTTATTCATTTTACCTGCTGATCATAGACCCCTCTCTGCCATCTCCTCCTGTCCTCCCTCCCCTACGTCTTAGAGAAGGGGAGCTTCCCCTTACCCACCCACCGCAGCTTTTTAGAGTGATATTTTTAAGTGGCTTTTAAAGCCTGAGCATGATGGTTTATATCTGCACCTTTTACAAAAGGCTGTCCTTCATACATACACTTGAAATACTAAGCACCTCCAAGTCTGCTTAGGAATGTCATGAATAAAAATAAGAACTATTGAATTTTTTTCTAAAAACATTTCAACTCTGTTTCTACTACTACAAAATTGAAGGTTGTTTCAGAAGTATATAACTATGCCTGCCAAACTCAATATTTTGCCAATTTTTCTTTGTTTTTAATTAGCTTACTTTTTCTTAAAAATTTAACTACAGTTCAATGCTGATATCTAATATCCTCCAGCTGTGACTTCTCACAAATTTCTGTTTCTATCTCTAGCTATATTCTTTTTAGTGTGGTATACTCTGCGAAGCTCAGTTTCACGTGTCTAAGTCTGAATTTACCTCTTCCCTACTGTCTTTCCCTCAGTCTCATGCTTACAACTTTAGGGGCAAGATATGTTCATCATTTTTCCTGTGACTTGTTCTTATGTTTTATTTCATATCTTCCTTTCTTCCTTTACTTTTTCATTATTTCAACCAGTTTTCCTTAGTAGCAATGACAGCTCAACTTTCTTGTAGTTTATGAGGTGCAAAAATCAAGTGTACAGACTCATTTGAGAGAGCTGCTACTGCATTATGAGAGAATTCTGTGTTGATGGGTCACAGAGCAGTGACTGTGAGCCCAAGACACTGATTAGACACTTGTGAAGTGAACTTGTATGTCGGGGGTCATATTTCAAATAAGATCCTACAATCCCTCTTTTATTCACATTAACTTGAAATGGGGTAGGGGTAGAAAGCTTTTTAAAAAAAATACTTTGTTACTTTTATTAAATAATTTTATTTTTAATTATAATAGAATTTTAGATAGTTTCCCTAATTCTTTTCCTTCCTCCAACTCCTACCATGTGTCTATCTTGCTCTTTCTCAAATCCATAGCTTTTTTCTATAATTATTGTTACACACACACACACACACACACACACACACACACATATACACACACATTAGGCAGTGTAGTTCCTAAAGGTAGAACTGATGCATTAGAAGAAGCCCAGGCCTTTCCCATGGTATCAGAATGCTGTGCTTACAAAGAGCAAAATGTGTTTCTTGTGACCGCATTTAGATATTTGATTCTTGGTGGGAATTATTATAAATCCATGCAAGTACCTGTTTCAAAGGTTTGTACTACTACGGGATTTGCAGTAATCTGCCAAATAAATTCTGACTCTGAGTAAGCAAAACAATAAGATTTTTTTTTTTAATTCTCAGATTTATATCTTGAATTTTTACTATCTCAACTTGCTCTCTGCTGGATATGATGATAAACAACTCTAATCTCAGCCTTCTGAGGTAGGGAGATCACAAGTTCAAGGTTGGTCTGAGCAGCATAACAGTAGCATATTACAAAATGGAGAAAGGCTGAGAAAATGCCCCAGCCCATAAAGTGGCTATTGTACAAGCATGAGGCCCTAAACTCAATCCCCAGGATGAGGTTAAAAAGCCAGGCATGGTAGTAATCCCAGATCTGAGGTGGCAGAGCCACTAACCAGCCAGCCTTGGATACTCAGCTGTGTCCAGGCCAATGAGAGAAATTGAATGGCTCCCAAGGCATGACACCTGAGGCTGACCTCTGGCCTAAGCATACACATACACACATACCTGCAAGCAAACAAGAACCCATGTATATCCACACATTCATGTACCCCAAAGCACATACACACAAATTAAGCAAAGAGAAAAAAGTTTTAATTTTTCAGAATTCAAATCTAAAAGTACCAAATAGCAAATAACTCTGTGTTCTTAAGCTCCTGTACTGTTAAAGAAACAGACAGAATTTCCTTGGGATAAAACCTGAACTTGATATGAGTTTCATATTTAGGTTCTTGGGCTAAAATGACAAATTAGTCAACATGCAAAACTATTCCGACGTTATTCTAAATTCCTATCCATTGTCTGTACTAGCCCATGAACTAGAAACTCCAGTCACAGAAGGAAAACACTAACAGGCGTGGTACTAGTGCAGGCAGAAGTTGTGTAGAGGAAGGGTTTTTTTGTTGTTGTTGTTTTGGGTTTTTTGTTGTTGTTGTTGTTGTTGTTTTGCCTCTTCAGATAAATTTCATAGTAAATAAGAAAATTGCTTAGAAAACTAAAAACATTCTAGAATGTGTATTTCATGATAACATTACCATCCTCTTCTTAGTAGTATAATTTGCCCTAATAGCTTAACTTATTTTAACTCCCAAAATTAATCTGCATAGGCAGGTACGTGTATCACATTAAAATCTTTTTTTTTTTACACACATCAGAGAAGGCTAGAAAAGTATTCTTTGTTTGGATTTGTTCTGTTTTGTGGGAGGTTGCAAGGACAGAAGGCTGATATGGAGGGGCAGGGAGAAGAGTTGGATTGGAGTGCATAATGTGAAATCAATAAAAAGTTTTTAAAATTATGTAGTGATGCTCTTTCATAAAAACTCCTCACGTACACATTCGGTTGGAACAGAGCTTAGGACAGTCTTTCTTCAGAGAGAACACTCCTATAAAATAAAATACTCTTCTTCATCAGCCATGGAACGTCCTTCACTCAGATGAAGCTTTCAAAGTTTACGTTAAAATGCCATATTCATAACTAAGTGACTACAGGCAGAACTGGGCCAATCAAAAGCTCTTGATTTCATACATAATGATGCACATAGCTTCATATGAAGACCACAAGAAACACTGTAAAAACTGTAAAGATTGAAGACTAACAGAAAAGGATAGGGAGACTCTGATGTGTGACTGCTGATTTTAAAGATCTTTAATTTTTTAATTTCAAAATGTTTAAGTAACTTTAATTCTTAATATTAAAAAATTAAATCCATAAAGATTAGCCATTTCCATTCAAAACTTAATGAGGTAAGTGAACAAGTGTTTTACTAGTAATGAATTAGGACACAGAGAAACTATAGACATGAAACCTGATATCAAATTCCAATTGGACACATTTTTTTTCTTTCAAAATAAATTTGTCTGGTGAATATTTGTGTGATTCATTTCCTTTCCTGGAAATACTGAATTTCAGACCCCAAGTAGAACTACAGAATGAAACTGAAAAAATGAGATAATAATTGGGCTCAATTTTGATAACGATTAAGCATACAATTTCTCCTTTAATCTCCATACTGTCGATCAAGTAAATTTTGAAAGCTCTTGTGGGTTTTTTGTTGTTGTTTGTTGTTTTACTGGGACTAGGGTCTCACATGCAGGGCAAACACTTTCCCATTGAGCTACATTCCCAGCCCTTGAAAGCTCTTAAATTCTCAAGTTATATAAGTTTTCAAAATTAATAGCGATGCCCAATTAATTTTTGTTGGGTTGAATCTGTGTGTTGCTTATTGCAGGATATGGGAGTAGTAATACTTCTATTAAATAACACAGAGAATGACTGCTAATATCCTTGGTCTCAGTTGCCCACGTACCATATAACCGGTACATAGATGAGACCACTGTCCTAGTTTGATGGTCTGAGGTGTCTTTAGTAAAGAGCATAGTTACAGTACAAATTGCCAAAATGAGTTGGGAGTCTTCTTCTTCTTGGACTATACTGAAAGTATTAGCTGCCTGTAGTTTGTCTATATAAAATTATCAATATTTTTGTTCCTTGTACCTTTTTTCCCCAGTCTAGAGAATCTATCCCTTTAAATGACCTAAAATCGGAAGTATCACCCCGGATTTCAGCAGAGGACCTGATTGATTTGTGTGAACTCACAGTGACGGGCCACTTCAAAACCCCCACCAAGAAAACCAAGTCCAGTAAGCCAAAGCTCCTAGTGGTGGACATCCGGAACAGTGAGGAGTATCCTTGCCTGGCGGTTTGAAAGGGTGGCACTGCCCTACTGTGTCTTCCTTTTCTGAGTGTGTGTGTGTGTGTGTGTGTGTGTGTGTGTGTGTGTGTGTGTGTGTTTGTGTGTGTGTTTCTCTGATATGTATTGTGAATCCTTTTAAAAAAGCAATTCTGGCGACCAAAGCCAGGGCACTGACTCTCCTAGGAAGCTCTCTACCCCTGACCTGTGTCTGTAACCCTCATACTTTTTGCAATATTTACTTTCATTTTGTGTATTTAAGCATTTTACCCAATGTATGTGAGTGAAACTGGAGTTATGGATGCTTGTGAGCTGCCGTGTCAGTGTAGAGAACTGAGCCCAAGTCTACTGGTGGAGTGCCCAGTGCTCTTAACTTTTGAGCCATCTCTTCAGTTGTATACTTTTTCTTAACAGAGCAATTCTCTCTTACACAGAAGTTTTTCTTTTAAAAAAAAAAAGTATAAAATAGAAATGAAGACCTTTAGAACTTTAAATTTTCACATTTATAGCACATACTAAGTATAAAAAGCAATAAATTAGGGCTAGCCAAATGATGGAGTCTTACATGCCAAAATCTGCGTATTTTCATGTGCAAATTTCAGTCTCAGTTTTTTAAATGAAATTCAAACCAGCTTTCCTAGAATTGCAAAAGTAGTGTGAAAAAAACTTAGGCTAGTTATAGTACAATTTGGAAACCCACAATTTCAAATATAAGTCAATTTTTTCTTTTTGTTTGTTTTTTTAGAATCAGAGTCTCACGTTATAATCCTGACTAGTCTGGACCTCACAATGTAGATCAGGCTGGCCTTGACTCACAGAGATCTGCCTCTGTGAGTCATACATTTTTATTTCCTTTCTGTGACCTCTTATTTTATCATATTCTTCTATACCTCCAAATACCAAATCTTGACACCTTCATTTCATAGTACTTTGAAAGAAAATACAAACTAAACTCTGTTCCCAGAATCCCTGGGTATTAATCATGAATACCTTGAAGACTGGAGTGATGTTCTAAGATACCTTTTAATTGAAGTATCTAAACCACCTATTGCCTTTCAAGCTAGAAAACAGCATTTTAAAAATAATCTGTGCTGTGGACTATTCCCTAATATTATATATTAGGAATATATATTAGGAATTTCCTAATATTATATATTATAACCAATATAAAATTCCTAACTCTTCATATTGAATCCTACTTGCAAGTAATTAAAGGTAAGAGAGTGTCTGCACAGTGATGAAGAGATTTACAAATTTAGTGCTTAGACTCATGTTAGAATGTGAGATTTAATTTTTAGATGTCATCACCATTAATAGCAACTGGTAAAATATAATTCTCTGTAGTACTATGTATAATTTTTTAAAAGAAGATATAAAATACAGTTATTTGTTAGGAATTTAAAACATCAAAATACTTTATACTAAAAACAAATGAATCAGAAAGATAATAAGAGCAAATAAAAGCAAAAAAACATTATCAACAAGAACATAATCTCAGGGTAAGACAGGAGACTAGTATCCTTATAAGTTTTATAGCCCAGCCCCAGGCTTAGGATTTAGAAAGTGGCCAGAAAATATTTATAGAAGGGAGCAGGGTGCAGAGTCCATAGCTCCATTGCGTCCTCACTTTCCTTCAAACTTAAAACATTTAAAATACAATTGGCAATGTATGAACCATTTTACATCCGAAAGTTGATCCCACTCTCTTCTACATGTAAGCCCTCAAGCAAGCCAGTACTCAAAAGAAAAAAAGAAAAAAGACAGTGACAACTTCAAACTAAACACATTTCCTCAGATAACAGTCCTTCATTCAGCAATTATTTTATTATCTTTGTGTGTCAATCAGTATACCAGAAATGAGAGCTATTTTTAAACAGAATGACAAATTCCATGCTCTTATGGCAATTTAAATTTAATTGGAAATCTAGAAAGTGTTTTACATAGTAATTCATGCTGTTGTAAGCAAATAGGGCCTGTTAAGAGTTTTTATAGACTACTTGGATGTGAAGAAGGAAGAACCTTTTTTTTTTTTTTTTGATGGGCTGTTACAATGTAACCCTCGCTCTCTGGAACTTGCTCTACAGACGAAGCTGGCCTCCAGCTTAGACATCCTCCTGCCTCTGCCCCTCAAGTGCTGCAATTGAAGGTATGCACTACCAAACCAAGCCTTAAGGGAACATTCTAAGCAGAAGAAAGAGCAAGTTCAAAGACCTTAATGTATTAACATGCTTGACATTTTGAACCCATCAAGGAGACCAACAAAATAAAAGATGGAGTCAGAAAATATAGTTACTGACACTATCAGAAGAAATGGGATAGTCAAAAATCTATGTATTTATTAACATACCCTCACTTCCCCCAACTAATACCAAGTTCTGAATCCATTTTTGGACATTACACAGTTGGCTTAAAACATTTATGGAAGATGTAAATGTATAGTTGAGATGCATACTGTACTTGCTTTAGAACAAGGGACATTATGAATAAGAACATTTCAGTGAGCTAAGTTTTGATAATAGCTGCTATTTACATCTTGCACAGTCCTAAGTGTGATGCTAGTCCTACAATGTTAAGTCTTCAGCAACTTTGGCTGAAGAAGAAACTGAGCTTTAAGAGGCTAGTGTACCATCTAATTGGCAGCTGGTAGAGCTGGCCTCAGGCTGCTAAACTTTATGCTATTTGCCAGGTCCCGAGTAGTCTCTGCATAGGCTATTAAGCATATGCAAACCTGAGATGAGTCAGTTAATACAAATAAATGACTAAATGTGATATGTATTGATTTTCAAGTTATGTATTTATTTGGAAACTATCCATATTCCTTCAGATCCTAGCTGCTACCCCCAGTGCCCATGTGTATATGACCTGGTCACCAGATCAATTCTGCCTGTGGATCTCTTTAAACAAATGAATCCACCAACATCAAGGAAAATTATTTTCAGTGTTGAAATGTAATAATATACTTTGAAAAAAGAGGAGTATTAGAAAAGTCCTTTCATTTTATTAAAGCTTTTATATTTTTATGAAAGCTTTTATATTTTTATTAAAATTTTTGTTTTAAATCTTTATTATATTTTTATGTATTAATTTGGGGAAGGGCACTACCACATTGTAAATATGAAGGTCAGAAGACAACTTGTAGAGCTGGTTTTCTTCTTCCACTACGTGGGTCCTGGGAATCAAACTTGGGTCATCTATTTGGCAGGAAGGACTTTACTGACTGAACCATCTTAAGAGCTCAGTAGTGATGGTTTAAAACTTAAAGCCATGGGCTAGGATCTGATACCATTTCTGACCTCTTTGGTTATCAGGCATACATGCAGTATACATATATAATACAAGCAAAACACTCATACACATAAAGTAAATAATAAACAAACTTTAGAGCTATTACAATCCTTCCAGTACCTGTGAAGTATTATGTGACTCACTTCTGATCTAGGGAAAACTTTGCAATTGATGATACTATCACTTCACCAATGATTTTTGAGATGTGACTAAATAAATGATTAATTAGTGTACCCTTAAAATATTTTTATTTCTCCCTTGCCACAAAACAGAGAAAAAGGAGCATTATATAATAATTTTCCTTCTATAAAGAAAGATTTTTTTTTTTGAAAGATTGATGTTTTTCACATCTTGCTCCACCCTTTGCTTTCGTTCTCTTTGGGAGACAAGGTTTCAGGTCTCCTATACTTGCTCTAACTTGCTGTAAAGCACCAGGATGGTCCAGAACTAAAGCTGCCTCTACCTCTCCAGTTCTGGGACTTACCATGTCTGCTTTCTTCTTTAACAAGCCAATTAAATGAGAGACTAACATAAGTCTTATGTATCCAGATGGGTAAAAATTTTCCTCATTTGTGCTTTAGGGATAATAAATTTCTAAAGTTACATTTTAATCTCATCTTTTTTACCCATGTAAAATAATTGAGACAGTTTGTTTTTGAAGGGAGGGAGAACTTCTAATCTTAAGCAAATGAACTTTGTCCATTTGTACATTTAAGAATCTGCCTTTCCAGGCTGCTTAGGGCTGCTGCCTGGGATTCTGTGGACACTGCAGTCACGTAACTATTGTCCTTTTTGGTTACTGGTAAAGAGAAGTGTATCAGTAAACCAACATCAACACTGACTGTGTCTGAGGATAGCAAAGCGAAGCAGTCAGGAGTGCAAACAAAGCTGAAGGCTGCAGCCACACTGCACACACAGGCAGGAAAACAATCCCAGATTTAAAAATACTTCTGAAAGCTCTGACATAACTGCCAGGGGCAAAAGACAGGGAAAAGCAACATTTTTCTGAAATCATTTTCCTTCTGTGTGTTTCTATAAGAAAGAAACATGAAATGTTTCTAGGCAAAGCTTTTTTTCAATGTATCATGGGAATTTTGGAGAAAGGCAATAGAAAATATTTCTTGTATAGTGGCATAAACTTTATAAACAATGTTAATGACTTCAAAGGTAATTCTCAGCCCAGTTGTTTTGGTAGTTAAAAATATTTAGAGTTTCAAATTTCCTGGAGTTCATATTAAAGGTGGCCTTAGTCATGCAAATGTGGGTCCAACTGATGTTATCTGTAAACAGAAATACATTGAAAGAATGTTAATCTCTTTTGCTTCAAGTAAAGTATGAGTTTTTCAGCTTTATTTTTTTTCTTTTTATTAGTTAGTTTATTTACTTTGTTTCCCAGCTGTAGCCCCCTCCCACATCCCTTCCCAGTCCCACCCTCCCTCCCTCTTCTTCTCCTATGCCCCTCCCCCAGTCCAATGATAGGGTAGGTTCTCCTTCCCTTCCATCTGACCCTAGTCTATCAGGTGTCATAAGGACTGGCTTCTTTGTCTTCCTCTGTGGACTGGTAAGGCTGCTCCCCCCTCAGGGGGAGGTGATTAAAGAACCAGCCCAAGAGTTCATGTCAAAGACAGTCCCTGTTCCTATTATTGGGGAACCCTCTTAGACACTGACCTGCCGTGGGCTATTTCTGTGCAAGGGTTCTAAGTTATCT